TTTTATACATCGTGAAAACTATTTTTTTGATTTATTCTCCTGTAACAATCCTTTCATTAATTTATATATGAAACCATCTGTAATTATTTCAACTCTTTCTAAAAAATTTGTAACTCTTATGTATGTAAATGTTTCAGCGACTGTCAGGTGGAATTCTTTTATTAGACTCTTAAATGGTTTTAATTTATTATTTGAAACTAACTCTTTAATAGTACGTATATCTCTAGATGTTCATGTGTTTAAAGACATATTGGTCATATTTCTCTTAATCGCCGACACATTTTGAAAATAAAAAAATTTGTTTTTTAGTCCAACTTTCTTCTTAATTTTATTCCATATAGGAGATATTTGTTTCCATATGAAAGAATTAGAGAAATCAAAATTTTTATTGTTCCATATTATATCTATTGGGTTATTAATTTGACAAACTTCTAGTTCCATAATAAACCAGGCCTCTTTCTCCATTCGAGTTAATAGGCAAATCACTACATGTGTTAGAATGCCAGCTTCATAACATTTACTAATATCTGGATATCCTAGTCCTCCATTTTTACTATTCCTTGATATTACAGAGTTCTTGATTCTGAGCTTTTTTCCTCTCCATACAAAGTTTGAAAAAGCAGTTCTATTCATTGTCATCCACAACGGAGGGATGGCCATTGGCAGCATCCTAAATAGATATATCCACTTAGGTAAAACATATGATCTCAGAATATTAATCCTACCACTCCAGGATACTTTCTCCATTCTTTTAGGTTTTTGTTAGTTTCTTTCAGAAGATCCATGAAGTTACTCTGCATTATTCTATTTCATTTCTCACAAATTTTAATTCCCAAATAGACAAAGGATTTCTGGTTTAAAAAGTCATAACTGTCCTGATAATTATCTATTTCATTTTTTGGTATATTTATATATAATGCTACTGACTTTGAATTATTTAATTTATGATTTGAAGCTGCACCATAAATCTTCAATTCCTCCATTACTGTTGGTAGGGACATTGGTGGATTAGTTAAAAATAGTATAATGTCGTCGGCATAAAGTGACATTTTAAGCTTGTTTTTTGCAAATAAATTACCTTTAATGTTTGTATTATGTCTGATTCTTCTGGACAATACTTCTATAATTAGTATGTACAAAATTGGAGAGAGCGGACATCCCTGTCTAGTTCCATTTTTAAGTTTAAACCATTTTTAACAGATATTAGGGCCAATCATTCTAGACATTGGAGAGGAGTATAACACTAATATTGCAGTTAGAATCCAGCCCTTAATACCAAAATTTGCCAATGTACTATTCATAAAAGCCCAGCTGACCCTGTCAAAAGACTTCCCGGCATCTAATGACCGGCACAGCATGGGATTCAGCTTTTGTTGTGACATGTCAATTAGATTAAGCAATCTTTTTATATAATTATTCACCATTCTGTCTGGCACAAAAACTATCTGATCAGGATGGATCAGAAGGTTCAATACATCTTTTAATCTGTATGATATATTAGAAGAAAATAATTTTATATCGACATTAATAAGGGAGATTGGATGATAATTTTTTAGGTCAGTTGGATCCTTCCCCAGCTTAAGTGTTGCTAAGATATTTGCTTTAAGCATCGTACTTAAAAAACATCGATTGAGACTGCTTTATTAAAGGAATCTTTCAAATGAGCTACAATTAAGTTTTTCATCCCTTTATAGAATTTATTACCAAAGCCATCTGGTCCTGTTGTTTTATAATTTTCCAAATTATCAATAGCCCTGATAATCTCTTCTTTAGATATTTTTTTGTTTAATATACTTAGAAGTTCAAATGATAATTATGGAGGATTAGCCTCATCAATAAATTCATTTATCTTATCCTTTAATAAAAAGGTCTGGTAATTTCTTCTGGTGTTAAACATATCTTGTTATTTAAGATGATTTTTTTTTTCTACACAGTTGTTGGATTTTTTTTTTTAAAGTATATTAGTTAGTATCTTATCCGCCCTATTGTATTTATGGTAATATTTAATTAATTTTTTAAATCTTTTTTTTATCCTTTTAAAAGGGTTATCTTGAATCTCTTTTTTAATGTTCATTTTTTTTCTTGTTGTCTCTAGAGGGGTTAGTATAGTTTTCTCTATTTCTATTATATACTTCTATGTGTAATTCTGCTAGACTAGGTCCCATTCTTTTATCTCTTAGTTTTTTTAGTTTAATACAATGGTCTCTAATAACTGCTTTATAAGAACACCATGCTTTATCATCTGCTACTTGTTCATTTTTATTTGCTTGAAAATAAAAAGTTGTCATTTTATCTAAATATAATTTATTTTCTTTATGTTGCAATAAAGTCTCATCCAATCTCCATGTTGTTTTATGATGCTTTTGCTGTTAATTCCATAATTACACAATAATGACCGGAAAATTATGGTTTTATTTCTATTTTATGTGTTCTTTCCAGTAACTTTGTTTCTCCCCCCCCAAAAAAATCTAATCTTGAGTATGAATCATGTGGGCATGAGTAAAATTTGTTTTCTTTTATTATGGGATTATTAACTCTCCATATATTGTATAGATTATCTTTTTTCATTAACTTATTAAGTATTTTGGTATTTCTTTGGGTACTATTATCTATACTGATTTTGTTATGTGAATATCAATCCAATAAGGTATCATGTAGACAGTTAAAATCTCCTACTATAATCTTTAAACCCATTGCTACCTTTTCAACTCTATTTAGTATTTGTCTCAGGAGACTCGTTGGATTTTTATTAAGGAAGTATACGTTTACTAATGTGAATATTTCATCATTTATCGTACACACTGTAATAATAAACCTTACTTCTGGGTCTGGATCCTTATAATTAATATTAACTTTTAAATCCTTTGAAATCCTTCTACTTCTAGAGGCACAAATTTTTGTTGGGAATTCTTTACTATACCATCTATTTTCATCTTTCTGGCACCAATGGGTCTCCTGTGCAAACACCACCTGAATATGTTCTTTTTTTAAGTAAACCTGAAATGCTCATCTCTTTTGGGGGATATCTAACCCTTGAATATTACTAGTGATCAATCTTACGATTATTAAATACTACTCTTCCTCTAAAAAACTGGGAAACACGGGAGACTCTTGCTGACAGAATTCTAAACATAGAAAGACATCTACAACATTATTAAAATGTATCAATAACATCCTTTCATTCTCACTAAAGGCTCTAAAAAGAGTCATTTTACAATTTACCAAAATCTGTACACTTCCAAACCTATTAGGTTTGTTGCAAGGGGAGGAGAAAGAGACGATGGGGAATATTTACCCTTCTAGATTAGCTCTTTACAAAAAAAAAAATCTCTTGTTTTATTATTTGCCCTTTGGTTCCTTATATTAGCAGTTCTATTGAATCCATTAAGTGTAACCAGTGCTAAATCATTAATAATATTATCTGTCATAAATACAATCTTAAGTAGTGTTTATTTCGCTTTTCCGAAAATTTCTTTCCCCTCTTTTTTACTCTCCTTTTTTCCTTTTTAAGAAAGTGTTTTATAAATATAATTCCGTGATACGTTTGTTCATTACTAAATTGTCTAACTTATTTGTTTCCAAGTCCCTTTACTACCTCATGTGACCAGTTATAGTGTTTAAAGTATTTTAATCCTAACCTTAAAGTGTTTTCTTATGTTATCTTATCTTATATCGTCATTATTATTTAGATTTCTTCCTTAATATCATGAGTTCTGTCTTAAATATTATTTCTTATATGTTATCTTCATTAGTGTTAAAACTCAAACTATAGTGAAAGTACCTTTCCTATTCATCTTTAGTCTCCTCACACATACCCATGGGGTAAAAAAAGAAAAAGAAAAGAAGAAATTAAAATTATTAATCCTATATATCATGAGCAGCAATATCTCTCTTAAGCAGCATTTTTGCTTAGTCTCTCAGGAGAAACATTTAGGCTTTTGCTTAAGAGAGGGAAAAAAGTAAAGTTCTTCAATCTTTTAAGTTCATTATGGTCCTTCAACTCTTAATTCTTTTCTTATTTACCTTTTTTTTTTCTTTCTTTCATCTTCCCTTCTCTTCTTCCTTCCCTCTCCATACGTAAACAGTGTTTTCAACAGCTATATTTCTCTTCTTCATCTATTCTCTGGCTTGCTTTATTGATTCAAATGTTTCGCTTTGACCATCTTTAATTACTTTTAGCTTGTTCGAATAAACCCTGGTGTATTTTATTTAAAAATTTCTTAAGATATTTGTAGCCGGTAAGAACGTTTTCCTCTGTGCCCTTGTTAAATAGGATAGATCTTGAAATATCTTTATTTGTTTAAACTCCTCTTCATTTGTGGGAGTTAAGCAACTTAGAAAGTAGTAGGTAGTAACGGTGTAGCGCTTATGTGCAGAATTGAATAAAAAAGTTTACCCAATTTTTCTTCTATGTTAATCAGTTATTCTTTGTTAACCTTAAGGTAAAAAATGGAAAAAATACATAACATAGTGCAGATTGTATGTAAATAGGTGGAAATAATTTTAAAGTAAGGGCCAAGTGGCAACTCACAATTTTCTGAGCTATAAATCTAGCTCAGAATTAGGTGCTTTAGGATCCGTATAGGCGACCCTCTCCCTTCTTCTCCTTTCTTTGATCCAGTCCTATATGGATACAGGAGGGGGTATATAGTGTAGTATAGTTGGTATTATTATGAGAATTTTAAAATAATAAATTTGGTACTCACAAACCCAGAGCCAGTCTATAGGCTCACTTCAATGCGCATATGTGGTTTAAGGACCACACTCCTTCTTTCAATTAGCAGGAAAAGGCCATAAGTGTATTAAAAAATATATCTCATTTATTGACTATAAAATTATAACACATTATAAATATATATATATATATATGTAGAAAAAATAAAATAAAACACTTATATGGCTGAAATAAAGTCCAATAAAGTCCAAAAATGAAGTTTTTCAGTGCTCACTTCGCTTTCCAGAACGCGTTTCGCCAGATGGCTTCTTCAGCTGGTTAAATTCTGTGATATTCTCCTGGACCTCTTCTCCTGCTTTAAATACTCTTCTTCGTTTGTAGAAACAGCAGGAGAAGAGGTCCAGGAGAATATCACAGAATTTAACCAGCTGAAGAAGCCATCTGGCGAAACGCGTTCTGGAAAGCGAAGTGAGCACTGAAAAACTTCATTTTTGGACTTTATTGGACTTTATTTCAGCCATATAAGTGTTTTATTTTATTTTTTCTACATATATATATATATTTTTATAATGTGTTATAATTTTATAGTCAATAAATGAGATATATTTTTTAATACACTTATGGCCTTTTCCTGCTAATTGAAAGAAGGAGTGTGGTCCTTAAACCACATATGCGCATTGAAGTGAGCCTATAGACTGGCTCTGGGTTTGTGAGTACCAAATTTATTATTTTAAAATTCTCATAATAATACCAACTATACTACACTATATACCCCCTCCTGTATCCATATAGGACTGGATCAAAGAAAGGAGAAGAAGGGAGAGGGTCGCCTATACGGATCCTAAAGCACCTAATTCTGAGCTAGATTTATAGCTCAGAAAATTGTGAGTTGCCACTTGGCCCTTACTTTAAAATTATTTCCACCTATTTACATACAATCTGCACTATGTTATGTATTTTTTCCATTTTTTACCTTAAGGTTAACAAAGAATAACTGATTAACATAGAAGAAAAATTGGGTAAACTTTTTTATTCAATTCTGCACATAAGCGCTACACCGTTACTACCTACTACTTTCTATCACTCTTGTTTAAAATATTCTCACGGTGGTTAGCAGCTGCTTGGATTATATATAAATTTTAAGATACTACACTCAAATAGCGCTGATACTTTCCTGTTTTATGAGTTAAGCGACTTGCCTGGATTATAGCTTCTTTAAATTGGAAGGATTGTAAATTTATTATAATATCTCTTGGCAGAGTATGAGGGATTATTTTTGATTTAAACAAACAATGGAATCTTTCCATATTGATATTGTATTTTGACACATCTAGTTTTAGAGCTATCCATAGTTTACTCAGAAATTCAGGAATTTTATCTTGAGTGACCTACTTTGGTACGTTTCAGATTCTTAGATTGTTTCTTCTTGAGCAATCCTCTAACTCTCCGAGTTTAGCCTCCATGCCTCTCAGTTTTATATTTTGCTGTTGATTTTGATATTCTAATAATCTTTCCTGGTTTTCTAAGGTTATTATATTTTCTTCATTTATGTGTAATCTATCAGACAAATCAATTTTTTTTTTTATTTCTTCTGTGTTTTTAGTTGTTTTATTAGTTATTGCTTCAAGTTGAGCTTCTAGGCAGTGCTTCAGAAAATCTGCTGTTATGTAATTTTCTGTTTGTCTGGATGAGTTTTGTATGGATTCTTCTAATCTTGATGAGTATTATCTTGTTTTTTTATCTTTATAGGTTCTGTTTACAGGGGAGAAGAAACTCAGTTTATTTTTCTGTTTTCTGGTCCTTTTTTTATCCTTCCTTTTTTATCCTTGAATATTACTAATATTACTAATATTACAGTGTTTGTATGTGTGTGTGTGTGTGTATCTGTATGTCTGTGTATCTGCGTGTGTATTATTGTTGTATGTGTGTCAGTGTTTGTATATGTATGTATAAGTGTGTATATGTATATGTCAGTGAGTGTATCTTTGTTTCTGGAAGCCTAGGGCAGAGAAAAGCATAAAACTGCAACTATATTAATTACATTTTGCTAATATGAGGGGTACAATTTATGAAAAAAAGTTGGAACCCCCTGCTCTATTCGTGCACTGCACTAATGAGAGAGGCATGGCATGAGGAGAAGATGCCTCCCCCTCCCTATTTAATCTTCTCTGCAACATACCTTAGTGCTCAGTTATGTGCCTTCGGTTCTGGGATTTACTAATCCTGATATCCCTTGTTTTATTGATTCCTAGTAATCTGACCTCTGCCTGTTATTTCCGCCTGGACTGACCTTATCTTCTGCTTGACCACATCTTTGGATTCTCCCTTATGGGATTACACTATTGGTATTGTTCTGCATATTGGGTTCCTCCTGCTCCAAATCCCTAATACCCCCATTATTTTGGCCTAGGTTAGGAAGTTTTTTTTCAAAACAAAACTATTACAGTCTTTCAGCTCTGAAATTGCAGTTTAGTGACCGATTGAGTGCGTTTGCTCTTGTATGTTATATGAATTGGCCCCTTCAGCAGCCTTATATTGTATGCATGTTCAGGTGAGTGCAGCCCTCTTGGTTTCATATATATGTTTGGGAGTTCATGCCAAATCCATGGTTTTGCACCCCTCCCTGTCACAGGTGATTATTCCAGGGCCCTATTTAACCTAACACTGCCAGAAGGCAGTATTTCCCAAGTAAGCGGATTAATCTCTTGTGAACAGACTTTAGTTGGCTAGGATAGGACCTGCCAAAAACAGAGTACATTAATGTTGTGGCAGGTTTATGCAATCTATGATAATATACTGTAACTACCCCCATTATTTTTGCCTCTGTTAGGTGTTTAAAAAAAAACCCCAAAACTATTACATTCTTTGAGCTTTGAAATGACTGTTTAGTGAATAAGTGAGTGTATTGGATCTTGTATTTTATATATATTTATATATATTTAGCCTTTGAAATAATTTATTTTTATTCTCTTCTTGTTCATTTGCATGCATATGCATTAAAGACACTCCTTTTGGCCTCTTCTTGATGTCAGCTTATCAGCCGCAGAGTTAGTCAATATTGTGTAATGCTCGCTCTCCATTTTCACTGTTTTTTAAATAATATTTGATGACTGAATATTTACCCGTGATACAAACATATAAATACTACAATATATATGATAACAATTATGCTTTATTACTGCAAACACTTCAAACATATGGATAAATGCTCTTTCACAGGGAGGGGAGTGTGAGTGTGAGTTTTCTATGGTTTCCTTTTACCATGAAGGTTTTCCATCTGCTATATCTCTCTGATGTAAACACCATCCAGCCATCCAAATGGAACAGCCTATCAATGCAAGTATCTGTGCCTGAACTTGTCTGTGCATGAGGTTATCATACGCTGCGCCAAGTTAACACTGTAAGTTTGAGTTTTTCTCTATGAGGTGAACCAGAGCTCCTCCAGCGACCTCGGTTCATCTATTTTTGAGTACCATTGGTATGCTTTTCACTATTCAAAGAAAGACTGGAACTCAACTGCAGCTCAGAGGCGGCTCTCACGCTGGCTAGTGCCTCACGGCTGCTTAAACCACCTGAGGGCAGACTGTGTCGGGTCCTCAGTCAGTGACTGAGGACCCGACACCAGGAGGGGGCCCGGCGGCTTACTCAGTATGCCCCAAGGTGCGAGGCTCCTCCTGTCTGCCTGGCCAGCCATCGCAGACACCGGTCTGCAGCTCCGCAGTGAGCAGAGCTGCAGACCATGTGTCTCACGAGCAACACTCTGACAGGTCTCGCAAGATACATGGTCTGCAGCTCTGCGGAGTTGCAGACGGGATGTAATGGCCACCGGACCACCAGATAGCCCACCGGACCACCAGGGAATAAATAAGGGTATGTAGTCTCCCCCCTCTCCCCATCAGACCCCCCTCCCTCACACCATCACCCCCTCCCTCTCACCATCACCCCCTCCCTCCCACATCACCCTCTCTCATCATCACCTCCTCTCCTTCTCATCACCCCCTCTCACCATCACCCCCTCTTCCTCTCACCACCATCATCCCCCTCTCCCTCTTATCACCCCGTCCCATCACCCACCCCCTTCCCTTCTTCCCTCTCATCATCCCATTCCCTTCTTCCCTCTCATCAACCCCCTCCCTCTCATAATCATCCCCCCCTCACACCATCACAGTCTCACAAACACAGTATCAACCTCCTCACACACAGCCTCCCCAGACACACTGTTAGCATCCCCTCACACTGTCACCTCCCCACACATTGTCACTCCTCACTACACTGTCATCGCCCCCCCCCACACTGCCAGCCTCTTCATGCATTCACACTCACATTAACCACTCCTTCTCCTGTTAATCTCACCCCCTCCAAACTCACCTGCCCTCAATCTGCCACACTCACCCTGTCACATTAACCCCCCTAATGCTGTCACACTCGTCCCTCCTACCATGCCACAATTGCCCTGTCACACTTACCTCAACTCGCCCTGTCACACTCCCTCATCAAACCATGTCATACTCCCTGTCCTTCATTCTCTCTCACAACCCCCCCCATCCATTTACCCCCTTTGCCCTGTCACGCTCTCCCTGTCACTGGTACCCCTTTACTCACCTTGTCACAGTCACCAGCTGAAGACATTCATCATACACACACAGTCAGGAAACATAGCTTTGTCATGAACACAATGCACAAAGGCTACAGGCAGACCCCCATACACACAACACACTTCAAGCAGCTCCCCCATACACATAGGGTCCCAGACAAAAATGCAAATCTGCTCACAGAGACATACATTCACACACACACAAGGATACTCCCTGTCAGACACACTCTCAGGCACATACACAGGTAAACTGTGCATCAATGTGTAAATGTGACAGTGTGCATGTATTGCAACTCTTTTATTTTCACTTTTTGTTAGTGGGGCCTCATGTTTGAATTTAGCCTAAGGCCTCTTAAAGTCTAGAGCCGCCTCTGCTGCAGATTAAACTGTTTATTAAGTCTCTAAAGATGGTAATTAAAGAACCTAAAGCAGGATCTTAGAAGAATTTGAATAGTAAATAGTAAGTAATGAGTAATCAAAATTAAAATATAATGTCACTAAGAATTTTAGAAAGGTACAATGTAACTTTAAATCTTTTCTGAGGTTTTGAAGAAAACTTGATTTTTTTGATAAATAAGAACTCAAATTTAAACAGTTTGAAATGGAATGAAATAAGTTGTAAACATTTGATAATATGAAATGTGACTTTAAATTCTTTATAAGATTAAAACTTGAATGTGTCAGGTTTGCAATTATAGAAGGATTCCTTAGATAGTTTGAAGGAGAAGAAAAGTACTTTAGAGTACCATTAGATAAAATGAGTGAACTTAGAGCTTCAGCTGTGTAATAAGTTTGCTTAGATTGAAATGAATAAATACAACAA